ACAGTGCACTAAGAAGAGCAATGGAATAAGACACAGGGACAGAGAGAAGCGCTCCACACAGGAATGTGAGCAAGAAGCTGATCTTAGAGTATCCAGGAGAGGACAGACAGGGAGGAGGATGACACCTGAGGTGTCTGCAGATAGAAGGTGGCAAGGTGCCAGTTGTTAACTTAATCACTGGGAAGGCACAATGGTAAAGTGATCTTGGATGTTAGAGGGATAAGACAGGGTATGTAAGGACCATGATGTCAGAACAAAGAAAGAACAAGGGGAAGGAAGGAAAAACAGAGAGCACAGTAAAGTTCAATGGCCTGGAGCCTAGGTCATGGGAATGAGATAGTCCTTAAATGGTTCTTGGCGTTATTCAGTCAGTTTGAAATTCTACTAATTTCTAAAATGTACAAAACCCAACACTTACAGATTTTCTCTAAATATTTCAACCACAGACTTATTCCACGAGAGAAGAAAATGCCATTTCTTTTACTCATTCTTCCCCAGGATCAGGATCCAGACCTTAGCAATCATTCCTCACATCATATCCATGGCTAGTGCCAGAGACAATGCTCTTTATTCTATATTCTAAGCTATCTAGAGTCCACCATTTCCTAGCAAGGGAACTACAAGATCTCAGCCTCTTGCTGACATTTTACACCCCATAGTGCAGATGCCCAGTCTCCTCCATGATGCATTGCTCTGCACTAAACTCAGAAGCTTTCCCACATGACCATGGAAAACCTTAGACCTTACAGTGTCCTAGAGGGTCTAGGAAATCAACATCCAAACCAACCAATCCCCTCCGTTCAGTTGTAAAGTTGGAGAGCTGAATTGTGTGCTTCCAAGGACTCGTTTGGGGAATACTTCACATCTAAGAACTTAGAATGTGACTATAATTGGAGATAAAGTCTTTAAAAAGGTAATTAAATTTAACAGAGAATACTAGTGTTCCCTACTGCAAAGGTGTTCCTTTGAGATCAGGGCACAGACACGTAGAAAGGAGACATCATGCACAACCCAGTGACCCAGGCCTCAGAAGACATAGCCTATAGATACCCTAATTTCTGGCATTCGGGATCCAGAACTGTAAGAAATGTAACTTCTATCAAGTCACCCAGCCTGTGGTGTCTTTAGCTGTGGCACTAGTAATCTTCCTTCTCCTCGGGCCACCAGGTTCCAGTCCACCCTGTCTCTCTAATGCTCCAGACACACCAAACATGCTTTGCCTCAGAATAAATAAGTTTTCCCTCCGATCTGCATTCTGTTCAGATCTCACCCACACATCCCCAGCTCTCTTGACCAATGCTTGTGTGCTATGGGGACATGCTATTTAAAGCAGTCTCCACCTTCACCACAGCCATCTTCCCTATGCTCTTGTCTCATTGTTCTTGATGTGCATTCCTTGTTAATTCAAGTTCCCATCCAATAAACAAGGAAGAAATTTTGTAGCCTACCTCTGAATCTCCTGCACCAAAAATACACACATGAGGTCAGGTATTAAGATGCTGTAGGAAAACTTACAGTTTGTGGTTACCCACCTACTGGGGCGTGGCCTCTTATACTATAAATGTTGATGCAGAGCCTGCATCTTCCCCTTTTTCTTTCTTCCCTGACTGCTTTTTCGGATTGCTGAATTTCTGGGTTTGATCTCTGTTCTCCATTTAAGCAGAGAATTCTGATTTGTGAGTTTTCCCCTAAATAAATAACCATCTATTTCTCAATTCTGAGCTACTGTGGGATTTCTTTTAAGTATCTGTTTCACATTAATTTAATAAAATTTAATGTTCCTTCAGCACTTACCTTCTCAGGATCGAGATGACATCAGTAGAAGTGCTCAAGTCTAAGCCAGTGGTGGGATCATCCAAGAACAAAATGGGATGCTGGGTGACCAGCTCCATGGCTATACTGGTCCTTTTCCTGAGCTCTTTAGATCTAGGCTAAAGCAACAATGACCACCATCATCAACAAGAACACCAACAGTCAATGTTGTTTGTTGAACAAACCTGTTCAAGCAATAAAAAGTTTTGTTATATCAATATGATGAGGAACAAAAATATGTGCACCTGGGAGAAAAAGATGGTTTCTCTTTTCCAAGTGAACAGAAAGAGGCTCAGGACAGACTTGACATAAAGCCTATGCTAATGACAGTTACTATCTCTTCTTCATCAAGTCACATATTCTAGGTAATGAGTTATCACACTCAAAAGCTGGCATGGTGAATTCTCTTTCTGAGCAATGAGGAAGACAGGACAGGAGAAGATGTAATATTTCTAGAAATTTAGTATTTATTTTACAACCTTTGAATACACATTCACACACATACTAATGCATAGACACACACACTCACACACACACACAGATATACACACACATACACATTTATAGACAGACACACAGAGACACAGATACACTCACTGCTTTTTTCAACACTTTCATGTTTCCATATTAGGGTCTTTTCAGCTCTCTTAAGACTTCATGAATTGACATTATTCAGCATCACAGATTTAAGGACTCATCCTTCTAGACAAACTCAAGAGGTCATAGAGTCTACAGGTCAAACTGGCACAGTCTTTGTACCACCCAATGTCATGTGTAAGGTGAGAGGAAATAGCAAGGATTTTGGGGACACGGAACTAGGGAACAATTCTTTCCAAAGATGATAACCAAAACCATGATGAAGCTCCACTGACAGTATACAACAAAGGATGTTTGAGGAATGTGGACGAGTGTGGTCAGGACAATGATGTAGGTCGACCTTCTGTCTATATGTTACTTTCATTGGTCAAATATTGAAACTGCCTTGGGCTTTGATAGGACAGTAGCTTAGATAGGCAGAGTAGACAGAACAGAATGCTGGGAGAAAGAAGGAGAGTCAGGCAGACACCATGATTCCCCTTCCCAAAGTGGACACTGGCTAGACTCATGCCGGTAAGCCACAACCTTGTGGTGACATACAGATTATTAAAAATGATTTGAATCAAGATGTGAGAGTTAGCCAAAAGGAGGCTAAAACTAATGGGCCAGGCAGTTTTTAAATTAATACAGTTTCTGTGTAATTATTTCAGGTAAAGCCAACCAGGCAGCAAGAAGCAGCCCACCCCTCCTATTACTACAGGACAAGACTGAGGATATAAAGAAATCATTAATTTTCATAGTTAAGAATAGAGTTTATAGCTTAGAGTAATGTTTCCTTTGTATTTTAATAAATAAAGCTTGCCTGAAGATCAGAGAGTAAATCAGTCCCACTGATCAACCTTACAGAACAGGCAATGGTAAAACAACCTTTAATCCCGGCAGCCACACTAGTTTGCCACAGTAATTGGACAGTAGTAGCTCACAACTTTAATTCCAGCCCTAGAGAGAATGATATAAGACGGGAGGAGACAGCCCTCACACACAGTCTCATCTGAGATTCCTGGAGGCAGGATCGTCATTTCAGAGGGAGGTAGAGGGAAGAGTCTGTGGCTGGCTGTTTTGCTTTTCTGACCTTCAGGTTTAATCCTAATTTCTGTCTCTTGGTTTTTTATCACTTGTGCTATAATAGGAAAGCAGATGTCCTTGTATTTATGGATGAAAATTAATTAAGTACTCAGTAGTAAGGAGCTTCTAAAATGCTGCACTGAGAAACAGCTTTAGTGAGTACGCTGTGGTGAGCCCACAAGCATTATACAGCAAAAGTACAGCTGACGGACCATTAGACAATTTCACAAAAAATATAATATTATGAAGAACCCATGTTGTAGAGCTTCGGGAACTCCTGTCTTTTGGATAAGTCACTTTAATTCTGTAGAAACCTTGTGGGATCATAACAGTTCTCCCAGCAGTGTAAACCTGACTCTTCCTGTAGGGCAACAGGATACCACCCCCACACTATGAAGCCTGACAGAAAAGCATTCACTCAGTCAAACCTTCATTCTCATAGAAAAAATCTACATAAAACTAACCCCCGACAAGTTTCTTTATTGACCGCACTCACTGATAAGAAAGGAGCCCAAAACTGGAGGCAATATATCTGCTCTAACAGTAGATTCAGGAAGTTGTTAATTACTGGCCCTTTTTTCTAACCTAACAAATTATTAATATTCTGTATTTACCATTCACCTTGGTTTCAATTAATATAAGATTATAGCCCAAGAAACTAACTGTTTTTACCTTTACCCCTAGAGATATGCCCTGAGCTCAGAAAAGGCTGATTCGGTAATCACACATATATTCAAAGTTATGGCCATCATGGGTATACCTGCACAAATAAAAGCAGACAATGGTCCAGCATATGTATCTAAGAAAATGAATGCTTTTTTGCTTATTATAATATAAAACACATTACAGGTATACCAAATAATTCTACAGGTCGGGCAGTTATTGAAAGATCAAATCGTACTATAAAGGATATGCTGAACAAACAGAAAGGGACAGAAAATACCCCCAGAAATAGATTGCATAATGCTTTAATAACCTTGAATTTTCTTAATGCTAATGAGAAAGGAACAACAGTGGCAGATAGACATTGGATAATGGAAAAGTCTGCTGAAGTAAATCAACCGGTTTATCTCAAAGATGTGCTGACCTATCAACAGAAGCTAGGAGATGTGCTATGTTGCGGAAAGGGTTTTGCTCTTCTTTCCACAGGAGAAGAAAAATTGTGGATACCTTCAAAATTAATAAAGGTTCGATTTGAAGAGGAGAAACCTCTTGGAAAAGAGAAATGACAGCTCATCCACAATGATCATAATCATACAGATGGTAAGAAAAATGTATAGAATGGGGGCAGGGTTCTGTTCTTATCTCCGCAGGAAAACACTCATCTTTGAAAAATTCAAGGGAACCTGGATGTTTGAATACTGACAGATGGAAAAATAACTACCCAATAGGGACTATCAAGAAAACTGAATAGGTTCTGTAAGTATAAAAACCTAAGATATACTATGTTATATTTCTAAATTTATAGAGCTGGTTTTAGAGTTGGACTCTTGCTCAGTCCCTCTCTAATTCCAAGCCTGTTGTTAAGAGAAAAACTCAGAGTTTCTGGAGTTTCTGTCTCATGTCAAGAGCCATGATATGGTACAGAAAGAAATATGAGCTTAGAAAACATCTTTGCTTTTCTTCATATCTATCATACCTTTCACTGAATACATCTATCATGCCTTTCATTGAATATATGTATGTCTGTATATGTCTATATAATTAATGTTTAAGTTTTCCACAATGAATAATGAGTTTTTCCTGCACTGACATTTGAAGTTTCCAGGAAGAAGATGGGGCCCCATAACAACAACTCCACCTGGTTGAGATGACGTCATGATACTGATAGTGCTACTACAAGACCTGTTTTGGGTACCAGCTGCACAAGACGGTTCCAACTTGGTTAGCTGAAATGATGCACATCTTGTACAACATTCTGGCCAGACCTCCAAAATATTCAGAGACTATTTGCAATTTTAAAAGACATTGATCTTGAAATTTAACCATCATTTTACTTTCACAGGATCCCCCAGAAAGAGTGTCACCCCCATGACAGCTGGAAATAATTATAGAGGATAACATCCCCTCTCCCAGTAAAGTTTGTCCTTGGGTTTAGGGACATAATTTAGGGGTTGATTTTAATTAATATACAGTTGAGGATTGGGGGAGGAATTTTATAAGCTCAGGGATCTTTTGGGGGGAAAAAAGAGGGATAATTGGATGATGGGATAATAGATTGGTACTTGTAAGCTATTGTTTTTAGACAAATATATTGATACAAAGTTAAATTATATTGACTACTGTATGCATGCATGCTTCTACCTCTGCTTAAAACATTTTTATGTATTGATATATATAGATTGTATTGATATATGTATATTTACCATACTGCATTGTACTTTTCTACCTCTGATTAAGATACTTATATATTGTTTATGTAATGATATATATATATATAGATATATAGATATAGATATATATACCATATTGCAATGTATACTTGTACATTGTTTATATTTGGAGGTCACATTGTCCTCATTTATTACAGAGTTGTTTATTGTCTTAGTCTTTAAGTTAGATAGGTATTGAGAATTATTTAGATCAATAGTCATCTATGTTTGTCATTTATAATTAGACTAATCAGGTTCTTTAGATGAATAGAGATTATGTTCAGTATAAATAGATAATCTTCAACCTCTTCAAAGAGCTGTAGAAATGGCCTTTAATCTAACTTAGAGTTTCATGGTAGTTAAACACAATTGCTCCTGGCAACACCGATCTACTCCCGAGAGAATGTTGAACACCAAAGACACTCCACCTGGAGCCTTTCTTCTTGGCAGAACTGGCCTTTGGGTAAAGAAATGCCCATACCTCAACTACTGACAGATACAGAGTATCTGTAAATGGATAAAACAGGACTGTCATATCCTGCCAAGACAGGGTAAGATAGTTTTGAAAAGTTTCTTGCCTTTGAAAATGGTATGTCAGTTACGTTAGGACTTAGGCAAAATTGGTTGCTTCAACACTGCAAACGTGAGTTTGGGTTATTGTCCAGATAGCCAATTGTCTCTGTGATTTGTTGCATGTTTTGGAAGTCGTTTGATTGCACTTCCTAATTACTGAGGTAAAATTATTTTCTTTCTCAGATATATGTAATTACTTTCCTCTCATGATTTGAACAAGTTATTTATTATATGACATTCCAGTGTGTGCTATGGCATTCAGGCACCCACAAACACACACACACACACACACACACAAACACACACACATGCACACACATACGTGTGTTCCCACTACATACACCTTTTCCTGAAAGCTATCATAAAGAAATAATATTAAAAATCTTGAAATCTCTTCCACTGCATTACTTTTGAGAAGTTAATAAATATTTGTTTGTTATCCTTGTTTTATAAACAAGTAAGCAACTAAGAACAATGACTAATTATTGGTAAAAATTAAGCAAAAAAATACCTTATTATAAGTACAAAACCATGTAAATAAACAGAGGAAAGCACACAAAACTCCATCACTAAGGAAAAAAGAAAGTGCGGTAATTAACAATTTTTCTATTATTATTCTCAACTAGATGAACATCTCATGAATGTCTGTGGAGAAGGATTATGGGAATCAATAGCCTGTACTTCCCTATTCCTCACTGCCTCTAAGGAGGAGACACCACAGGACTTAATCCATGAGAATCCTATTCTAGGGAGTTTATTTTAATCCATATATACAAATGTCTCCTCAGCAAACATCTCTACACAATTTTCGCAATGTGTTGATGTCATTGTGAGAGGTAGGATGATTTGGAACAGATAAGAAGAAAGAAGGTACCATGATATTATAATCTCTAAGCATATAATAATTACAGTACTTAATCAGGTTCTATAAACAATGTAATACAAAAGAACACTTGAGGAATGTGAATGGTTATAACCTGACAGGGCTGGGGATATCAGGATTTATTTCATTTTGATAGTTAAGGATGGAATTGTTAAGATAAGCAAACGTCCTTATTTATCATGGATAAAAATTAAGTATTCAGGGATGAAATACTATAAAATATTCTTTTTAAATATGTTAGTAGGAAACTAGTTAGGTATTACAACCTTCAGCTGTGAAGCTCACCACTTGCCCATTGCTTTCCCTGATCCTGTACAAATCTCAACAGGAAGAGTCACTTGGCCTCTTTATTGCTACACTTGCCCAAGGTTGTACCTATAAAACTTTACACAGGGTCTTAAAATATGTATGACATAATATAAAGAAGCAGGGAATGAGGGCAGAAGTACATCCTAGCTGTCTGGGCAGTTGCTCAGATTAAAGGTAAAAAGGGAGCAAAGGGTTTTATTTCAGTACAAAATTGAAAAGTACAGTTGACCATTGTAGGGAAGGCAAGACATGAAGCTGCTGCAGCTGGTTACACCCAGTCAAGAGCACAGAGAAGATGGATGCACAGATGCCTGTCAGTGCTCAACTCACTTTTTCTATTCTCACAACACCTAGGACCCAAATCCCAAAAATAGAGCTGGCTAAGTGAACTGGGTCTTTCTACATCGCTTAACTTAATCAGGACAATTACCCACAGAAATGCACACAAGTCAACTTGACTATAATTTCTCTTTGAGGCTCTCTTCTAGATGATTCCATGTGATACTAAACTGTATTCAGCTGACAGTGAAAACTAGTAACCACAAGTAAGGATAAAATAAAAGCACAAGAAAAAAGGCTACAGAAAATAACATGCGCTACACAAGTACGAAGTAAGTGCTAAAGAGACCTAGGACAACCATGGAGGAAAACAAATGCATAGTGAACACAGAGCCAGAGTTCTCCATTGCACAACCTGTGTCTGTCCAGAAGCACATTCTGAAACAACGAGGGACAAGTCCTCTAGGGGAAGTGACAATAAATTGAAGAAAGCACTTGTCCAGTTCTCTAAAGTCAAGAGTTTAAGGCTGAGGGATGAGTAGGCTCATGTGAGGAGCACTAGGAAACGGCCATGTGAGGAGCACTCTTCTTTGCTAAATCACACTCCATTCCCAGGTTTAGCCATTGTTAAGAAGGCTTCCCAGCTAAATTTTCTTTTAAATCTTGTAACCAGTCACTTGATTAACACAGAGAGCAGTCAGTGTGACTACATACATTATATGGAACTGCTGACAGAGGGTCATGTAATCCACACATGTATTTTTCCCCTCCTTGTCAGCTGAGTCTTTCCAGACTTTTCTTCACATTACCTTGACATTTGACTCCTTATCCAGATGCAGAAGTTCAAGGACCTCATTAATTCGCCTTCTTTTTTCATCTCTTGTCACAGTTATTGGAAGTCGAAGAGCTGCTGAAAACTCTACGTTTTCTCTTACAGTCAGCGTGTGCATCACCATGTCCTTCTTAAGGTTAAATAGAATTTCAATTAAATATAGTGATCAGTGAAACAATCATTCTAACAAATGCAACATACTCCTCATATAAAATATACACAAGGTAATACTTTCCTTAAAAAAAAAACTTTCAATTTTACTAATTTCAAATACAGAACCTGAGGCAATCATTTTCACCCCTTCCCATTTTCTTCCAAGTAGAGCACAGGGATTTTGGTGATGGCTACCTCCAATTATTTGCAGAAAACATCTAAGCAGTGAAGAAGGATGAAGAAGGGACAAAATTTGACAACTGTAGCACTCTGTATAATTAAATCACACCTTCAATTACTAATATTGTGCTGTAGATGTCATGCTTCAATCTCCCCACATCTTCCTATTTTATAATGTCATCCTCAGGGTAATGAGTCATTGTAAAAAGCCAGTGTAGAGAAAGTATGGCCTTTAAATGTGTCATATAATGAACTGGAGAAACACAAGTCTATTAGCTTAGAATCCAATCACACAGAATGAGGGGCAATCTAAAATTACAAACTCAACAGTACTTACTTGTGGCACATAACCAGAAGTACATGTGAAATTAGCAGGTCGAGGGTTTCCATTTATCAAAATATCTCCAGATAATCCACGTGGATCTTTCCTTGCAGCTAAGACATCTAATAACCTACAAGGGTTACATATATTGTGTGGTTTATTTCCTTCCTTCAGTAAAAGCTATCAGTTTTGAGATACTCAGAATAAAAATTTTGCATATCAAAAGGCTGAAATATCACACACACACACACTTCTTTCTGTTCAGTATGTGTTCTAATACAGCCCAAAACTATGAATTTAAAGCATGGTCTGTATGACTGCCTCTCCCTGCCATCTGACCTTAAGGAATCAAACAGGTAATGTGCTACTGTAGATGGAGAATTAGGCTTGGTTCTTGTCTTCACGAAACTGCTCTTTCATCATTCTAATCTTAATACTATCTCACCCAAAAGAAATAATATGACCCAACACCATACGCCAATCACTGTCATTTGCTAGCAGTAAAGTGACCTAGTAAGACCTCCTGCTCCTGCTGTAAAATTAGAATGCACCTTACTGCACACTACCCACAGCACACAGGACCAGACTAACACATACACACTCACAGATACACTCACTCAGTACTGAAATAACTCATCTTCACAGCACAGAAACTGGATACAAAGCGGAGCACAAGTAATAAAAACTCAGAAACAGATATTGGCGTTCAGCCTGAAGACCAGAAAAGAAAAAATCAATCAATCATTGAGTCTTACATGAACCTGTTGTGCAAACTCCTTCAGCCAATAGCCTTTAAGATACCAGCCCACTTTGGGTGTGGTCTCCTGCACTATAAGTGCAGACAAAAATTAAGTGCGGCCTCATCTTTTTCTGCTGGATTTGATTCCAGTACCCAACGCAGGGAAAAGACTGCAGATTGCTACCCATACTGGGAGTTTATCCCCGAATAAATAAACCTTTGTTATACTCCATTCTGGGATATTGTAGAACTCTTAGATATGACTACACAACCTCAGTCCAAAAATGGTGATCCTGCCTCCAGAAATCTCAGAATGAGACTGTGTATGAGAGCTGTCTCCTCCTGTTTTATAATCCTTTCTTGGGCTGGGATTAAAGGCATGCACCACTACTGCTCAGTTTCTATGACAGACTAGTGTGGCTACTGCGATTAAAGGCGTGTGTCATTGCTGCCTAGTCTGTAAGGCTGGCCAGTATGACTGTTTTATTTTTCTGATCTTCAGGCAAGCTTTATTTATTAAAATACAAGTGAAATATCACTACAACAAAGGGCTTTTATATGCTTTCCATTATACTCACAAAGATCTGCTCCCATCTTGTGGTCCCATAATTGCATTGAGGCCAGGTTTCATGATCCCACTGTAAACACAAATTTATACTGGTTGATTTTTTTATGTAAAGGAAATTATATTAGTTAAGAGTCTATGCTGAACATGATATTGAAGTTGGATAAAATTGCTCACAGAAAATAAGTGCAAACTCATAAAATTAAAACATTATTAGGAGCCTATTACTTATCAAAGATGTCAGTTGCTAGCAGAAACTAATCAAAAGTGCCTCAGGTATCATAAAACCTCTGTTTATTATTTAAAGACTTGTCTTCTGTTGTATGTGGTGCATCTAAGATAAGTGCTCCTTGAAGCAAGTAGCAGTTTCTCATGAAGACTCCATTACACACACGGTCATTATGTGCCTAGTATATAACAGTTTCCTACTACTGTTTTATGATTAATATTTTCATATAACTCTGCTTGCTGTCTCATAGACCTTGTCACAAGAAACCAATAATTCATGAGACATCAGTAGCAATGTAATTACCACTAAAATAGAATCAAACCAAAATCAATGCATCTTAAGTAGAAATTCAAATATTAGAAGGACAAAAGAGTACAGGAGAGAGTTGCAAAGTTTAACACTGAAAACAACAACAAAAAACAAAACACTACCTTAATCAAAATGGAAAAACTAAATATATACCGATAAAATGATGATTTCCTTCCCTGATAAAGAGATCAGAATATGTTCAGTTAAAGTTGGGAGACATTCCTCAAGTAGAAGACATTATTTATTGATGTATAGGTATAGCACAAACACAAATTATGTCCAAAGAATCTGATTGATTAATTCAGAGTAGTGAATATTCAAATTGAAAGGGGCATAGTTTTTTATTCTTATAGAAAACTTAGCTATAGTAGGCAGGAGAATCTCAGGACTCTTGCAGTCTGCTAGCCTGGCATAACCAGCAGTGAGCAATGAGTGACTCTGTTTGTCACACGGTAGAAGGTGAAGACCAGTGCTCAGGGTTTCCCCCTGACAGCCTTGTGCTATGGGTGTGTCATAGTATCCACACATCTGCACATGTGAACATACACACATATACACTTAAGCACAAACATATATATATATATATGTATGTATGTATATATTTATATATAAACACATACACTTATGCATACACATAAACAGATATATACATATACACATAAACACACACAATTTGTCGATAATAGAGAAAGCTTGTGTTTGTTGAAAAGCTGTTCAATGTTGTGGATTCTACTTCATGCACATACCTGATATTTGACAGTCTTTCTATAATACACGCATGTTTACAACATGCAAAGCTACTCTGAACTGTTTCCTGATAGCTGATGTGATGAAAACTTAGCACAGCCTCTTCAACCAATGAGTTCAGGTCACTGGTGTCCATTTCAGGAGGGTCACTGGAATTTCTTTCTATCATTGGGACTGTAACAGGATCATTATTGAAAAACATCTCCAGAGGTTCTTCCTTCCTATAGAAGGAACAGCAATATTAAGTTGATGGTCCACAAAAACAACATTATTACACAGAGCAGCACACATAAGGACTGTTTAGACTGTGTAGTCAAAGGCGGATTCCTTCCTGATGAACAGTTTATATGGCTGTGAGTTCCTAAGGACCCAATGAGAACTCTATATAACTTAGTACATAGACTCCCCATAGATACTAAATTCCTAAGAAATAAATGAGCCCTAACAAGAAGAGCATAAATATTATTCATAATTCATAAGGAAAGAGGGCAAAATATGAGGGGGCAGATTTCTCTTACTTCAAAAGCATATTATGGTTAATATAAGTTTAGATATAGAATACATGACAACCACCATCACCGTCCTGTGTGTACATGTGTTTGTGTGTGTGCATATGTGTGTGTGTTGTGTACGGATATATGTTGTATTATGGGGTATGACACAATAAGAATTTGGACTTCCATGGCTATCAGGAGAAATTTCTGACATTTCCAGCTTCAGACTGTCATTAAGAATCTTCACACAGCCAACAAGAAGAACTGCTGATAAAAACATCATCATTGATATAATGGATATGCTTACATTCTAGGAAGACTCAGATATTAAAATGACAGAGACAGGGACACCAAATCATTAGCTAAACAGTGTAATACTTCTAAGGAAAAGCAATGGTGTAGGAGGTCCTTCTATATTTGTATTGCTTTCATTGGTTATTAAAGAAACTGCCTTGGCCTAATTGATAGGGTGGAACTTAGGTAGTCAGAGTAAACAGAACTGAATGCTCGGAAGAAGGGCACAGTGGCAGACACCATGAATCTCCTGCCTGAGACAGACGTAGGTTAGAATCTTCCCAGTAATCCATGACCTTGTGGTGGCATACAGATTTTTTTAGAAATGGCTTGAATCAAGAAGTGAAAGTTAGCCAATAAGAGACTAGAACTAATGGGCCAGGCAGTGTTTTAATTAATACAATTTCTATGTGGTTATTTCGGGGATTAAACTAGTCGGGCGGGATGAAACAAGGGGCCTCGCTCATTTCAACAAACAATACAGATGAAATTTAAATGTCACTTTTCAAAAGTTACTAATGTTTGTTTTAAAGTATGACCTTTAATGAACTGAGCACATGAACAGTTTAAAATACCATCATCAACACAGCCAGATTTACTTTCTAATAGCTGACATCTTGGGTGATGAGCTCTTGCCTGTGAAGGACCAGCTGCTCAGGCAAGCCTCCTCCAGGAGCATCCTTAAAGCAGGCAGGGTGGGAGCATCTGTGTGAAGAGCTCTGATGACAACCAAAGCAGACAGGGTTGAGGGACAGCAGCAGGGAAGGGAACCCAGCCTCCTACTGCCTTCCCAATCCGCCATCAGCATGTCAAAATCACTCAAGTACATGTCCAAAACCAGGAAAGACTGGAAAACAAAATCTGCTAAAAGCATCTGCCAGAAGCACTGTTATTCTTGAGGAAAAGTATAAGCAGTCTGTCGCTAGGCAAACTTGGAGCCTCAGAACAATGGCATCCTCAAAACGCTGTGTCCTGAGATCCAGAAGGCTTAGGCTTTGAGATTTCAGACAAACCAGACTATGGGGCTAAGGCTCTGCCACATCAGTGTGCTCTACTCAGACATTGGTGGAAATATGAATGTTAAACCCCTCCTGTTCAAAAAATGTTATCCAAAATTTCAGTTACAGATTTCTAGTCATTTCAGTAAACATGGTTAAATATTACTAAAGTGAGAACATAGAAGGATGGTCACAAGTAATCCTCGAACATTACTAATAAGACAACCGATTGCTACATTCAAAGATAGAAGGAATGGAATTACAGATTTCTTATTACAAGACACAAAATCTATTTTTGCAACACTAATAATTAAGATTTAAGAAATGTATTTAGCAACCACTTAAACAACGATTAATTAAGAAGGAGACTAGAAAGTTCTGGGGATGGAGAGATGGCTCAATGGTTGAAATTACTTGTTTCAGGATGACCCCAGCTAAGACCCTAAACTATAGTGGAAAGTGTATCCAAACTGGACTTGCCCTGTAGTCAGATTGATAACAATCTTAAATGTCACCATAGAACCTTCATCCAGCAAATGATGGAAACAGAGGCAGAAACCCACATCAGAGCACTGGGCTGAGCTCCCAAAGTCCAGAGGAAGAGTGGGAGAAGTGGAAATATGAGCAAAGAGGTCAAGACCATGATAAGGACACCCACTGTAACAGTCTACCTCAGCTAATGGGAGCTCACCAACTCCAGCTGGACAGGGAAGGAACCAGCAAGGACCAAACTGGACCCTCTGAATGTGGGTGACAGTTATGTGGCTGGAACACACTGAGAGGCCACTGGAAGTGGTACCAGGATTTATCCCTACTGCTTGTACTGGATTTTTTGGAACCCATTCTCTGAATGGACACCTTGCTCAGTGTAAATATAGTAGGGAGGGCCTTGGTCCTTCCTCAAAGCAATGTGCCTCACCTTCTCTTAGGAGCAGATGGGGGATGGGATGGGGGCAAATGTGGAGGGAATGCGAGGGAGAAAGTGGGATCTGGACTTGGAATGTATAATGAAAAAAGATAGTTTATTTTCTTTTTAAAAAAATAAGATTAAAAAAGGAGAACCAAATAAGCACATGACTGATAATGATTTTGAAATGAACTCCATTCTGAATGAGAATTATCATATGAAAATAGAAGCTCTAAATTGGAAAGAAAGAGAGCAACATGGGAGCATAAGGCATCTGCAGGACTTGACGAAAGGGAAGGAAGTTCCTATACAAGAATACCTGTGATGGGTGAAAATGCGGATGACAAAAGCACATAGAGAAACATGAGACTGGGTCTGAGACCACAGTATAGTGCATATTCAACACATGTGAGGCCAGGGCAGCAAATCCAAGGTGAAACAGGCTGCCCTGGTGACCACAGGTTGGCAGGAGTAACCTATCGCTCTTCCAAACCTTAAATCCAGCATTGGTCTGTCTGTCTGTCTGTCTGTCTATCTATCTATCTATCTATCTATTTTATTAAAAATTTCCACCTTCTCCCCCCTCCCATTTCCCTCCTCCTTTCTTTCCCCTTCCCCCTCCCTCTCTAGTCCAAAGAGAAGTCAGAGTTCCCTTCCCTGTGAGAAATCCAAGGTCCTCCCCCCTCCATCCAGGTTTAGGAAGGTGAGCATCCAAACAGACTAGGTTCCCACCAAGTCAGTACATGCAGTAGAATCAGAGCCCAGTGCCATTGTCCTTGGCTTCTCAGTCAGCCCTCTTTGTCAGCCACATTCAGAATATCCGGTTTGCAGCAAGGGTATTTCTAAATGGACGTTTCCTGTCCTAGGAGCCTGGTCCCAAAACCAACTCAGAGGTGAATAATGTGGGTGGTCCTTCTGTCTATGTGTTGCTTTTATTGGTTAATGAATTAAGAACTGTCTTAGCCTACACAGAACAGAACTAGGCGGAGAAAACTAGACTGAATGCTGGGAAAAAGAACGGCGGAGTGAGAGAGAAGTCATGGAGCCACCAGAGACAGATGTTCTGAAACTTTGCTGGTAGGCCACAACCTTGTTGTGATGCACAGATTAACAGAAATGGGTTAAATTAATATGTAAGAGTTATCCAACAAGAAGTTAGAGCTAATGGGCCAAGCAGTGATTTAGTTAATACAGTATCTGTGTAGTTATTTCAGTTCTGGGCGAGTGGGAAAAACAAGTGACCTCCTCACAACAGCTGAATGTGAATTATAAATGCTCAATTGATCACTCAGACTTGTTACTAGCTACCTCTTTCACTTATATTAACCCACATTTCTTTTTATGCTTTGCCATGTGGCTCATAACTTGTTAGCTCTCTATTTACACATCCTGCTCATTTAGCAGCAGGCCGGCTTTTCTTTGACTCTTCCCTCCTTATTCCCATCATTCTCAGTTTGACTTTCTGGTATAAGTTCCTGCCCAGCTACTGGCCTGTCAGGTTTTTATTAACCAATGAGAGTAACACATATTCAGAGACTAGAAATGGATTGTTCCACTGCAGATATTTGACCTGACACTGTTCCTGGATGGCAGAGAGCTACTGGGAATAAACTCACTGAATCAATCCCTGTCATGGGGATGCCATGTAAAAAAATGCATGGATGGATACACTTATGTCATCCATATTTCAGGTTATTGAAGAACAAGGCATCTATAAGCTGAATCAACTTTCTTGCTTTTCATTACCCAGCACTTTTGTTTCTTCTGAGGCTTGTGACTTTTGACAAGTGTAAACTGTTTCCTTCTCATCCTATTGACCAACATTGTCTCTCAGATCTCAGACTGCAATGAGCACAAGAATACACAGTGTCACCCATAAAGACTTACAGTGGTGCAAGGGTTAAAGCAGAGCTGTGGACGGGAGAACAGAGCAGACACACATGCAATAGAGAGAGCTGTTCTGAAGAAGGATGGCCAATAAATACTCCATTGGTTCAAGGCACAGTGTCAGTTCAAGATAGAGAGATGGTTCACAAGGCAGATTGTTTCAAAGCACAGAGCTGACTCCAGGCATAAGGGGTCTGAACAAATGGGAGTTCAAGTGGGACACTTCAATTTGGGCTGATCACATGAGCAGGAGTCCTGGGACAGAGTTGAGAGTTTGTTGCTTTGTATCTAGTGATGCACACATTGAATGGCCTGATGATGGAGCAGTGGCTATGATACAAGTGAGGGCATTGCAGCACTCATGACTCTGGTGTTTTGGACAAGCACACAAGCTTCATTTCTCAGAAAAGGTCTTCAGACATCCATGGGTTTAGGTGTTTCTGGCCTATTAGGTTTATAGGTAGTGTAAACAGAAGTTTCTGTCCCACCCAGCCCTGTAGTCATTCAGTCCCAAAGAAACATATATAGGCTTATATTAATTATAAAATATATTGCCTATTAGCTCAGGCTTGTTATTAATTAGCTCTTTCAACCTAAATTAACCCATAAATCTTATCTATGT